ATTGAACCTGACAAAATGTGAACATTTTTAATAGTTGGAACATTTTGATCCTAGAATCCATCTTTATGTCTTTCACTTAAGTGCTAATCTAAAACAGGTCAGTTTTAATAAATTCAGCTGTGAAACATTCTTTGCACTTAACTTCAAATTAGGTGTTATAAGCTTATTTTAACATCTTAAGTGCATTGTATTGGAGTGTTCTATTAAATTAAGCTAATAACCCACAAGCTAATAAACTCTCTCGCTCCCCCTTTTTTTAAGGTACAGCAGGGAAGAACTGGAAATTCAGAGAAAGAAACAACACTTCCATCTACAAAAGCTGAGTTTACTTCTCCTCCATCTTTGTTCAAGACTGGACTCCCACCAAGCAGGTTAGTTAGACAGTTTTATCTTAATTATTGTATCTTTACATTGTATTTGTGTTGTATTAAGTATAAAATTTCCCAGGGTTCTATCAACAAAAACTGGAACATTCTACTTTCAGTACAAAGTCCTTGTGAAAACTTTTGGTTGGTATTCCATTTTAAAAACCTGGGAAAGCAAGAAATGAACAGTATATACTTAATGCGTATGCTTAAAGAGACAATAATCTTATATTCAGGGAAGGTGGTAACAGTGACCACGCTGTTCTCTGTGCATATTATTCTAACATAAAGATTTATTGGACTTCCTAAGTCTAGCCTGATTTTACTAAAAGAGGTGGTAGAAATTTCAGTCTGGGAAATCTTTCAAATTAAAATGCTTTGCTTTTCTTTCTTTAGTTTTACATAACACTTTTGTATACACAAAATCTAAATAAAGAAGCAAATATGCTGGAAAATGTCTTTTTAATTCAGGTGTGACAAATAGTTATCCTATAACCCCATTATAGGGAAAACAGCAAAGGACAGGAACACTAGGGAAGTACAGTTTTGTGTATTAAATGAGTTAATTTATGTGAAGTGTTTTAGAATAGTGCTTGCTATTATAATTAAGCTATTTAAAATCCAAAAATTAGAGATAAGGGCAAAATAGTTTTTGCTGGGTATCGAGGGGGTGGGGGGTAAGGGACGGGGTGGACGGAGTGGGGAGAAATGACCCAAACATTGTATGCACATATGAATAAAAATAAAATAAAAAATAAAATCCATATCAGTTTTTCTGTACTTTGCCACTTTTTTTTGTTTTGTTTTTTTAAATTGCGCTGGATTATATAGGACCTTGTCATTATAAGATCTTTGGCTTTTCCTGTATTTGAAATGAATAGGGAATCACTGTCAGATTTTGAGCAAAGCAATAAAATAATATGATTCAGGTTTTTAAATCTCAATTTCTCTGCTTTACTAAGCGCAGCCTATACAGTGATTAAAGATGGAAACAAGGGACAGTTGGAAGGTTGCTGCAAATATCTAGGCAAAAGATAATGGTGACATTACCAAGGTGATAGTGGTAGAGATGGTAAGAAGTCATCAGATACTGAATACTTCAAAATCAAACCAATAATAGCCTATCATGATTGATTGGATATAGATTATAGAGAAAAAGAAGTGAAGATTTTTATTTTCAATACAACTGCAGTGATGAAGTTGTCATTACTGAGATGGGAAAGATTATAGGAGGAGTGGCTTTTGAAAGGGAGAAGACCAAGACTTCAGCTTAGTATATAATAAAATTTAGATGCCTATTCAAAATAAAAAGGGAAATTTGGGAAGTTGGATATATGTATCTGGAATAAGGAGAAGGTTATTAACCAGAGATAGAAATTTGAAATGATGACACCATTCAGATGATATTTAATTAAGCTATGAGATGGAATTAAACCATAAAATAAGTATTGATTGAAAAGTGGTAAGAAGACAGCCTTGAGGAACTCTGTCAGGGGAAATCAGTAAAAGGAGACCAATAAAGAGGAATGACTAGTGAAGTAGGAAGAAGCCCAGTGTGTTTTTACAAAGGAATATGTTTTAAGAAAGAATGATCAACTGTCAAAATGTTAATGATTGATTGGTCAAGGAGATGAAGACTGAGAGTGACTATTGGATTTTCATCTATGAAGGTCACTGTTACCAGATTCTGAGCAGGATTGTTTAAGTGGTTTTAAATGGTGAAGGTAAAGGTAAACAACTTTGGAATGGGTTCAAGACAAAAAGTTGAAAGAGAGGGATTAGAAAAAAAAAATATGGACTATTTTTGAAAGACTATTTCCTTTCTTCTGTGGGGGCTGGATGCAGAGAAATGGACAGTATATGGAGGGAACTGTGGAGTCAAGGGTTTGCAAAATTGAAGAATTTGCAGCACCTTGTATACTTGAGGGATGATTTAACTGGAGGGGAAATTGATGATGCAAATGAGAAAGGCAATAATTGTACAGCAGTGCTCTTAATAAGGCCAGAGGGGATGGGATGTAATATGCAAGTGACAAGGTTAGACTTAAGTAGGAGCATGGACAAAAGCAAGTCACTCATAATAACAGAGAATGTACGATGCAGGATCCCATAATAATGGGAACAATTGAGAGTTCTCTTGATTGCTTTCTCTTTCACAGTAAAATAAGCTGTAGACTTGTCTGGAGAGAGTAAAGATGGTGGAGTGGGGATTTGAAGGTTTAAGAAGAGAGGAAAAGGGCTGAAATAGGGTTTTATTGGAGTCAGTGAATAAATTGAGGGAAAGAATAGGCTTACTTGGCAGTAGAAAGGAAGTGTGGAGTGGACTTTTTAATTTTTTTTTTTGTGATACTAGGGTTTGAACTCAGGGCCTTACACTAGATAGGCAGGTACTCTTCCACTTGAGCCACTACTCCACCAGCCGTGTGTGTGGGTGTGTGTGTGGGTGTGGGTGTGGGTGTGGGTGTGGGTGTGTGTGTGTAGTATTTTTGAGGGTCTTTTGTTGTCCAGGCTGGCCTCAACTTGAGATCCTCCTGATCTCTGCCTCCTGAGTAGCTAGGATTGCAGGTGTGAGTCACTGGTGCCCAGCTAGAGGAATTTTCTTCAAAGTGGAAAAAATTACAGTATTTTTTATATGCTGATGAGAATGAGTTAGTAGAATGAAAAGTAGATGGCACAGGAGAGAAACTGTATTTCCAGTTTTTCTTGAGATTAATACCATGGTCTTAAATAAGCCATATTAGCCTATTTATGTATTTTCTTTCACTTTTGTCGTGTATGCTTAAAGTATGTCTATGAAGAGTAGCTAGAGTGGTTTTTAGCATGAGTAGAGGTAGGTTATATCAAGTAAATATAACAAAGGAATAGAGGGGCCAAAAAGTCAGCATATACTCAAAGGTGATCTAAGGAGAGATGGATAAATGACAGTAAAAAGTAGCTAAAGGAAGGATGGAAAATGAGCAGGCCTATTACCTCTACAACCTATAGAAACTCACTGGCTTTGCATGTAGCATGTAGCACTGTCACTTTTTAATATAAAGAACAGTGCCCATGCTCATAAGGAAAGTTTGATTCAAGATTCATCCTGAATTGATCAAAAGAATAATTTTCAGTCATTTTGAAATATTTTCCTAAATTATGTTTGGAAGTAGAATTTTATTGACTTGACGGAGGAGACGGGGACGTCATTTATTAAAACCTAATGAAGACTACAAAGTAGACATTTAGGAGTAATAGCTGTACTGCTGCCCTAAAACTATATTTCCATTGCGAAAATCTTAGATTGCCTTATGAGTGTACAGATAAATATTGATGTGTTTGTGCAGAACTTTAACAACTTTTCAGTATTTTCTTAGTAGAAAAATTGAGTTTCTAGCTTTTTGTACTGCCCAGCAAATTGGCATACTTAAGTAAAATGCTATATTTACTATCAGAATATCCTGCTTAATCTTTAAAAGTTTTCATATTATTTACCTTTTTTTGAAGTACATGCATACAGACAAAATTATGAGTTTAAAGCTGGATGGGTTTTCACATACCTTGTAAACCAGCACACAGAGTGAAAAACAGCACATGGCTGGCAGAGTGGGTCTGATGGTAGAGTGCTTCCCTAGAAAGGATGAGGCCCTGAGTTCAAACCCCAGTGCCACACACACAAGAAGAGAAACAGAACATTATCCATTCTCCCAGAAGTCCCTGTTATGTGTCTTTCATTTGTTGCTTATTTTTTTTAACATTTTATTTTGGCAAAAAATTCAAACTTAAAAAGACTTTCAAGAGAAGTACAAAAATCTTCCTTATACACAGATTTATCAGGTACTAGTACATTACCATATTTGCTTTAGAATTTCTCAAAACCGTTTTTCTTTCTGAACCAGTGAATGGAAATTGTGGGCATAATTCCTCCTATCCATAAATTCTTCAGTATGTGTTTCTTAAGAACAAGGATGTTCCGATACATATACATGTTCATAGGCCACAGTTTTCAAAGGCAGAGAAATCTGGTAATGAGTCAATACTGTTGTCTAGTTTGCAGGCCATGAATTTTGCTAGTTATTCCATTAATGTCCTTTCAGTAATGTCCTGTATTGCAGTTCTTTCCTCCTTGATTTAGGATTTGATCCAGGATCATTTACATTTTTTTTTTTTTGAAATAGAGTTTTGCTTTGTAGTTCAGGCTGGTCTCAAACTCTCAATCTACCTGCCTCAGTCCCTAGTGTTGGAATTATAGGCATGCACCACTACACTTGCCTAGATTAACTCTTATTTTATGTGTCAGAGTATTATGTGTGGTTTGTAAGTATGGCTTATTTATTTATGTGGTGTCTAAACCAACCATACATATACACTATAATTCATTTTGATTCTCAAATTATTCCACATTTGGTCAGTGGAAGTCTCTTCAAACTGGCTTCTCTGACCTTTTCATATGTTACCGCCTTTTTTTTTTTTTTTTCCTATTGGATTCTTTACATTTGGCATTACCAGGATGTTCCAGGCTTATTTTGTGCTTTCCCTGCTTCTTCACAAGAACCATCCATCTCTTGAAGGCACTCATTCCTATTAGCAGGAAATGGTAATTACAAATCAAGGTGAGGGTGCTAACTGTGGTCAGTGCATTGGGCATCATTATTTGCACATTCAGGCCAGGAAAAAAGTAGTTTTCATAAGAAATTATCATATTCATATTTTTATAAAATCTTAATTATGAAGTCATTGCATTTCTTTTACATCCAATTTGAAATCACAGAGTTCTTACCTCTTTTCTATTCCACATTACATCTTCCTTTTTTCATGGTGACAAGCTGACTCCCAACAACTTCACTGTAAATACTCACTTGATCCATATTCAAATTCAGTACAAAAGAGATTAAGAACTTCTACACCTAACCATTCACTCTACTGTTAAGTAAAGTTCAATATTTGGGGAATTTTTTTCTTTCATTTCTTTTTTTTTGCTGAGGAATAGCAAAACTACTGTGTTCAAAAGTTTTCTTTGGAGTGGTGTATTAATCATTTAAAATATAATTTGATCCATTGTATCTGTTTGTTTTCACTTGTAGCATTTTTTCCCACCCTTGTTATTAATGCAATTTTTTTGTATATATAATATGTTTAATATAGTTCCAAAGGCAAGTTATCCAAAGGTATATAGAGATTTGTCACTCTTCTCTCTATTTCTTTCACTATTGTCAGTAATAAATTTCATTTAATTTCTAGTTTATTCCTGTGTTTCTGGGTACATAAACAAGCAGATAAATAAATGTGTATATTTTTCTAGTTGTTTGGAAAGAGCATTTTATTAATCTTTTAAAGGATTGACAAGAATAGGAATTTTTTTTCTCTTTAACAGTACTGGGGCTTGAACTCAGGGCCTTCACCCTGAGTCACTCCACCGGCCCTTTTTGTGATGCATATTTTCAAGACAGGGTCTCACAAACTATTTGCCCAGACTGGCTTCGAACTGCGATCCTCCTGATCTCTGCCTCCTGAGTACCTAGGATTACAGGCGTGAACCATCAGTGCAAGAATGAGAATTTGAACTCAGGAATTCTGGATCCAGAATCCTCATATTTGTGTGTGTATAGACTGTAAAAACATGTCTATATATGCATCTGTTTGTGTGTGTGTGTGTGTGTGTGTGTGTGTGTGTGTGTGTGTGTCTGTTTACAAACCAGAAAAAAGGTGAATGCTTTGGCCATCTTGATAGGATAAAAATATCAGCTACAGAACAGTTCTTCAGTTAGTTACCTAGGTACTAAGATAAATGAACAGTAGTGTTGACACTAGATATCACTCTCAGTCCAATACTGCTTTCCTATGCGTAAATAGTATGAATCCTTTTGAAATCAACTATAATATTAAACTAAAGGAAAAAAAAGGATTGATGAGAGTATGAATACCTGAACTTTTTATGGAGTGTGTTTCTAGAAATAAAATGAACTTTCTCTGGAATTTTGATAATTTAAAATTTAGTTTTAATAATTATATATATATGTATTTATTACAGGTTTTAGTGAAACACACCAGAGTGCTGTTATGAGCTGGCTCACTTAGTACTACAAATATAGGGAGAGAAATGCCAAAATTTTTCATAAAATTAATTCAGAGGCACAGAAATTCATTTTTTGGCGATGTATTTTAGCTGAAGCCCTTGGTTATTTTCTCATTCCTGCGTTTTGATAAACATTGTTGAAGAATATTTCTAAAAAATATTGTAGCGTTAATAAAATGTTGATAACATATCTATATTTATATGTTGTAGTCTTACTATGACAACAAATATATGACTTGAAAGCAGAGATACTTATAGGAACATGTCAGAATTTTTGAAAAAGCATGTCAAAGTTGAAAATAGAACAAGGGGGTGAGAGACAACAATGTGTAAGAAAAAAAAACACAGATAATTTATCTCACCAGAAACAGCACCTCTTCCCAGTCTCAGACAAGTACTGCTTCCAGAAAAGCCAATTCAAGCGTTGGGAAGTGGCAGGATCGATACGGGAGGGCTGAGTCACCTGATCTGAGGTAAGGATACTTTTAAACATTGGGTACTCTGATGTTTAGGTCATCAGTGTTATTTTGTCTGTGGTAGTACAGCAAATTTTGATTAGCCTGTATTATATTTTTACCTCCCCAAACAATGCTTCTTCAGGGTACATTTGAGAGATTTTTAATTACCTTAAACATCCAGCATGTGTCTTGCTGTACAATACACAATGCATAATAAATTGCACTGAACCGCACTAATGGGTGCCCAATAAATCTATTTCTTTTTCGCTTGCTGCAGGTTCTTTCTCATGTCCTGTTAAAATGTCCTCAGGTGCTTTTCGCTAGTTATGGAATAAAATCTAATCTGAGCTTGTATTTAGTATCTACAAAATTTGACTCCACTGAATCTTTCCCATCTTTATATCAACTAGAGTGCATAAAAATGCTATTCAGTTAAGTGGGTCTGCCAGCTCGCTTAGAGTGTATAATGTCTTTTGTGGTGGTTATTCTTTGACTCATGATCTTACCCTCCAAAGAATTTTGGTATTTCTTAAATTGTGTATTTACAAAGCATACAACCTTAAATAGATAGAATCTGTTTCTGTGCCTGTAAAGCAGAAATAATAACTTGATTCTTTAGTGAGATAATGAGAAGCACTAGGATATGAAAATCCATAGCCAACAGTAGTTAGTCTGAGAGATTATACTTCAATGCCTAACTTGGAAATACTGACTAATATAGCTTCCAAATACACCATTTGACATTTTAAATAATAAGGCATATGCCTGATTTTATTTGGTTTTGTTTTGCTTTTGTTGTTTAAGAATTTTAGACTTTCTAAAATCTTACGTTATTGTGTTTTAAACTAATTTTAAAAAACTTTTAGATACATAAATTGTGGTAAGATGCCTTTGATTATAATGCCTTATAAAAAGCAAATCTTTTTCTATAGAACAGTGCCATGAGTTTTAAGAAGTTCTAGTCAATGCCTTGTTAGGATTTCATACTAGAAAAGAATAGCTAATTCATGTCAAAGTGAAAAAAGCATTTTGACCTGTTAAAGAATATTCCAAACTGTTAGGTCAGGTCTAATAACTAATACAAGTAGAAATAAATTATCTGTATTTTCAGAGTAATGTTACATGTGTTGCTTTAGTGAGTTGTGAAATGAAAATTTGTAAATCTTATGTTAATAAATTTACTTTTTCATATGCATTATATCATGATTCCTTTTCTTTTGCAAACTGGAGTTTGAGCTCCACCAACCCTTTTTTGTGATGGTTTTTTCGAGAAAAGGTCTCATGAACTATTTGCCTGGGCTGGCCTTGAATGGCGACCCTCCTGAGTAGTAATCCTGTAGGATTACAGATGTGAGCCACTGGCACATGGCAAATGGATTTTTGATACTAAAATTCTACTTGAGGAATTGAGAAGTTTCAAGGTTTTGTTTTGTTTTGCTTTGTTTCATGGTGCTGGGGATCAAATTTAGGGCTTTGTGCTTGCTATGCAAGGGCTCTGCCACTGAGGTACAAAACAGACCTTTTTTGAGATAGTCTTGATTTGTAGCCCAAACTGGCCTCAAACTCTTCCTGCCTCAGCCTCTCTAGTGCTGGGATTACACGTGTGCCACTACTTTTGATGAGAGTTATTTTAAATAAAGAAAAGTTTGATCTGACAAATATGGAGTGAAGTATATTAACTTTTTCACATTTGACATTTCTGTGAAACCCATTTAATTTCTCTCTCTTTTTTTTTATTTTACAAATGTCTCTAAATATAATTTCTGCATGGTGATTAACTTGATTTAGTACACACTTGGATTTATATTTGACCTGGTCAGCTGAACTTTATATATGCATCAGTATGCCACTCTTGGTAATGAATTAGTAGCCATCTTTCTATGTGAAGAATGACTAATGTTCTTAAACTTACAGCTGTTCTATGGCAAAAGTAGTAGATTTGAACTTTAAGTCTAGTTTTGTTAGTAATTACCTCTGTGAATTAAGGAGAGTTCCCTAAAATCTCTGTGCCTCCATTATCACATTTGTGAAATGGTGAGACTAGACTGTATAATCTGGAAAGCCTCTTCATTTCTGAAATTGCTTATTTCCTGGCTAGTCCTTTGCTTACAATGGAAAAGGAGATCATAGAAAGTAAGGCATTTGCCTAGATTCACAGCTAGTTATGACACAGAGCCAAGAATAGAGTCCCTTCAATTCAGGCAAGTAGACTTTCATAGGCAAAAGTTTAGAAATACTGAGAAATCTTAATTTTAATGTAATTTAAATCTTTATATTGGTTTATTTTCCTTTATTGTTTTAGCATCTGAAATTCCTTTTGTCAGTCATTTGACTTGGAATTTTTTACTTAAAATTATTATGCCTTTAATATACTTTATTTCTTAAAAATGACTAGTTTATAGGGAAAATAATTGGTTCTTATACCTGAAGATGATGCATCTCAGTGCTTAATTTATGTAAAGTCCCTTCCCTGCTGTTCTCCCCCTAAAAAAAGATGCTCTGGAAACACAAAATGCTCGTCATTCTGACTGTGAGTAGCGTTAGGGAATGCATATGTAGTAGGAAATTTGACAAAGCAGTTTGTGTACTTTATGTATGTGCTTTTGGAAATTCAAAAGTAAATACCCTCAATGAAAGCTGTTTATTCTCTTTTCAAACATTGTGTGTATATATGTAGAGTGTATACTGTATAAGTACTCACGTGCACGTGGATAGCATAAGATAGAAAACTAGATTCCAGGTCTCATATATAATGTAACTGAGAAGTGTGGAACTTGTGGCATTCCTTAAGCCTGTTTGTTAAGAGCAGCTGACCAGAAGTTGAGATTCTTTTCGTAAGTTACCATGCTTTGAAGGTTTGGACCTCTTACCTCAGGCTGACAATTTTTAATGTGTATAAGTGTGTCTTAAACTTTAGCAGTATTGTTTAAGCTGACTCTATACTCAGCAGTGGCATTTTATTGGTGTAAGTTTGCTTTATAAATTGCAATTTGTACCATTTGCAAAACCAATTAGTAAGAAGAATGAAGCCTTTTTAGTAGAAAATTGAAATTGACAGTATGGTTAATTGCTATAAACTTACCCTAACATCCATTTTTTTTCTGAATTATGTTTTCATTTTATAGTACCAAATCCTCCTTTTAGATAATTAAGTTTTAAATTCTTCATTGTTTGTCTTAAGTTTGTGTGGTATATCAGAAAAATTTTTGAACTGATTCAGGCTCTTAAATAAGAAGTAGTGAAATTTGCTTTTTGTTGTTGAATCGCTAATATATTTAAACCTGTTTGCACCTTTTATAATAGACAAACACAAAATTTACAATAAAACTCCATGTTAGTGCTGGTGAAGTGGCTCAAAGGACTGAGGCCCTGAGTTCAAAACCACAAAATTAAAAAAAAACACCCTGGATGTTAAATGAACATTGTGTATGAGTCACAACTTTGTCTACATTTTGTCTGTTGATGAGACAATGTACACTGTGGCATTCGATGACTCTGAGTGCATGCATATTGCTTTAAAATTTTATGTGATTGGGTATCTGAAAGGCTTTTTTTTTTTTTTAAGTTCTGTAGAGCTTTTTTTTCCCTGTCGATTATATATGTAAAAGCATGAAGTTAGGCATAAAATGGCAGGTAAAGCTTTATTGTAAACTACTGTATTAATGAATATCAGTGTCCTCCAGTGAGTTGAATTTGAGCATATTTCACCTTTAATCATTTGAGGTATTATGTTCTGTTTTGAATAGAGCTTACAAAGTAATTTAACATTTAAAATATTCATGCTTCATAAAGTTAATATGGGAAACAGTGTTGTGGAAGAAGGGAAAGGTAGACTGAATTTGGAGTTAGGTATACAGTTCCTGACTCCTGGTGCTGCCACTTTCTATGCAAAAGAGCCTCTTTGCATGTCTATAAAAATGAAACTAATTAGACTTACTTGCAAGCTGACTTCTAAGCTTATGTGAGAGCACCTGTTAAAAAATCACCTGTTAGCTCCAGTTGGTTCTCTGCTTCTATCCCAGGACCTTTGAAAGTAGTACTGAAGGAAACAAATTATATGTCCAGAAGGCAAAGTTTTAAGTCTTGTGACTTATTTTGGTCATGTTATTTTCTAGTTAGGATTTTTGGCCAGTTCTTAACCTGATTGTTAGACTATGTAAACATTCTTTATAAATTATGTATGCACAATAGAGAAAATTATTCTTGGGTCTGTGAAAGTTAAATATACAGAGAAGCAGTATTATGTCATGTCACAAGTAAAAATACGTAATGAGTACTATCCTTTTCTTATCAGACCTTGATGGGTAATTACAGAGGGCTAGAGGTATGGCTCAATGGTAGAGTTCCTGCTTAATAAGCACAAAACCCTGAATTCAAACCCCAGTACCACAAAAAAAACCCAAAGCAAAACAATGAAGAACTAAATACTTGATCCTAGCACCACAAAAAGGTCAAAGAAGAGTTAAATATTAGCCAGGCAAGGTGGCTCATGCCTATAATATCAGTTATGCAAGAAGCATAAATAAGGGGATTGTATGTGTAAATATGAGGGGTGGGGTCCAGGCCAGCCCTGCCAAAAATGTAAGATACTCTCTGAAAAATAACTAAAGCAAAAAAGGACTGCGGGTGTGTCTCAAATTATATAATGCCTGCCTAGCAAGCATAAGCACTGAGTTCAAAAACCCTAGTACCACCAAAAAGAAAAAGAAAAGTTAAATATTAATTTTCATCAGCTACTTTACATTCTTTCTAGAAGAGAATCAAATGTTTATGTCTTTCTTGAACATGTTAGATGGTAGTTGTAATATTTGACTTTGGCTATGTCCTGGAATTATTTGAGAATTTTCAAAAAAGTAGTGATGCTTAGGCCCAGGAGATGCTGTTCTAAATACTCTGGTGTACATCCTGGACATTGAGGATTCTTAAAAGCTCCCCAGATCATTCTTATGTGCCAGCAGGATTGATAAACAGTGACTTCAAGACTAGATTCTGCTTGGCTTAAGGGTTAAAATCAAATGCTAGCTGGGGACCTGGGGTTTTGAAGTAAAGTGATAGATTTAACTGTAGTGAGAAATGATATTTGCAAAGTATTTTGTAACCTCAGAGTCCTTTTCTTTATGTGATTTTCATCTAATTTATATTCTCTACCTCTTTGAATGTCTTTTGGTTGATAACCACTTCCAAGAGTGTATTATGTTCTCAGTTGCAAGCAGAATGATAGATAATAGAAATATACTGCATATAATACTTTCCTCACATTCTTGGCTTCTGTACTGAGTTCAAACCCCAGTACCACAAAAAAATAAATAAATCCTTAGAGCAAGCCTGACTGATAAGAGGGATAAATAGTAGCACCACATCGTTTTACCTCCCCTTACTATAATTGCATTTGTTGAATTGGACATCGTTGTTATGCTTCACACAGTCTTGAAAAACAGCTATGTGAAACTCATTTTTTTTCTTTCTTTGGTGGGACTGGGGTTTGAACTCAGGGCTTCATGCTTACAGAGCAGATACTTTACCACTTGAGCCACAGCTCCAGTATACTTTGCTCTGGTTGTTTTGGAGATCAGGGTCTCAGAAATGTTTTGCCCAGGCTGGCCTCTAACCTCTATCCTTCCAATCTCAGCTTCCCAAGTAGCTAGGATTTCAGATGTGAGCCACCAGTGTATGGCTCACTTTTGATTTTGTTTTAATAATATTGGAAATTCTGTCTCTATTTCAGTGCTTTTCAAAACATGAGGTTACACTCTGTTTCTGAGTTACAAAATGAATTTGGTGATTCCAAGCAGTATTTCTTGGTTTTGTATTGTTTATTTGCTTTATTCCTGTTACATTTAAATATTACTAAAATCATTTTACTGTCACCTTTCCTTTATGTAAGCATGGTTTCATGAAAGTTTTAAGTTTTTAAATGTAATATGTAGGTCCTGGGTTGCTATGGACAATGGACTTCTGAACTGCATTTCGCGATCAGTAATGTAAAAATGGCTATGCTCCCTATATTTTGTCTTAAAGTGAACTCGAAGGGTAAACATTTGTTCACCTGTAAAAATGGGAATAATTGTTGCTACATCATAGGGTTATTATGAGGAATAAAGTGCTTATAGAACAGTGTTTATCTAGCACAGTAAGTGCTCGCTAAAAACAAATACTATTGCTGTTGCCAGGGAAAGCATTCAGACAAATGCTTTGCTTTTAGCTTACGCACATTAAAACTTTTGTATTAATGGTGTCCTTTTATAACTTCCCTTGACACTGAATTGTGATTTAAAAATTTGTTTTATCTCTGCCAGCAGCCCTTAAAAATGTCTTTTGGGCACATTAGAATCATCAAAATATGGCATTTTAATTTAATTCTATTATAATTTAAGAGAGATTTTTGTATTTACCTGTGCTGCGAGGGAAGATGGAAGCTTTTTGAACAGAGCTTGTTTAAACTGTAGATTTACTCATATCCACTGTGGTTAGTTTCTGTCTCAAGCATTTTACTAGGTGATTAAGCCCTAAATACAGAAAAAAACAATTAGCTGTCTACCTTACTAAAAAAAAGGTTTGCGGGCCCAGTTAGCCTGTACTGTGTGGATATCTGCGTTCTAGTAGATTTGCCTGTAGTGAAGTTCTACTGAATGCTTTCATGCAGTGAAATAAAAAGCTGTCCACCAAGAACAGAAAGCTGGGGCTGTAGCTCAGTAGGAAACACTTGCCTAACGTTCTTGATGCCCTGGATTCAGTCCTCCGCAAGTAGGGGGTGGGGACGCTTGCATGGAATAATGCAGTTCAATATTGTTTTTCATAATGTGACATCAGAAAAGCATTGTATTTTAAAATTAGTTGTATTAAATACTTTGTGTTTTTGGTTTGATACTATGTATCTATCATAAGAGATTTCTGAGCAAATGGTGAACTTGGTTTCTGGTTAATTTATGGTAAATAACTTTATATGATTAAAAATACCTGAGAAGTCTTACGAAGACATAGGAAATTGCAATTTCCTGGACTTTCCTTGAAGGATATACTCCTGGTAAGATTTATTTCTCAGCTGTGTTTGTAGAATCATTAATCCAGTTAAGCTGAGAAAATTAGACTTATTTAAGATAAACTTTAAGAGATGAATACTCCCAGATATCTCGAGAATTTTTAAAAACCAAAACACCTTCAAGATCAATGATAAAAGACAGGTTTTAGAAATCTTCCTCTTTAACTGAAAAATTAAGGTGTAGTTTTAACTATTTGTTATCATCCTGGAGAATTTGTTCTTGATAGGAATGTGTTTAAAAGTGGAGGGGGAAGCAGTCTTATGTATTAGGTAGTACAGTAGAGCTCCAGGTGTTGGTAATGGAGTCTAGGCCCCAGTGAAAGGTTCTGGGAATGCTGACCCAGGATACACTCCTATATCTGGTTGTTGGAGTCTGAGAGGTACCTAAGTGGTGGTAGGCAGAGCTTTGTAATTATTTTAAGTTTCAGGGTTGATATTGGAGAACTGTTTGTTTCATCTTTGAGGTGTTTGGATTTTTCCTATTCGTGAATGTCAAGAAATTTTCCCAGTTATGCTAGTGGCGGGTATAAGTTAAGTGAAATGACTCTCAGTCTTAGGGATCATGAAGGAGCCTGGAAAATCAGTGATCCAGGCATAGAATTAGAAAGTTTTGTATTATATGTATTCTATTAAAAGTACAGACAAGTGTTAATTTGACAAGAGGTGTCAGTATTGACATTAGTTTTTATATCAGCTTTTGACTAGGTGATTTAGTCAAATATTAAAAAAGACACTCTTGATAGCTTTGAATGGCACATTTCAGGTGTCATTATGTACCTCAAATAATAGGGTATAAAATTACATGTGGAGTGTTTGAAAAGCTTACTTGACAAACTCGTTATTTTCACTATAGTTTTAAATTTCTCAGGAGTGAATTATCTTGCTGGAAGAAGCATAGCTCAAAGGAAAAAGGAATCTTACAGGCTTTGGGGTTTAAGGTTTTAAGTTTGAAAGTTCGTTTTTGCCACTTAATTATTATTTAGATCAGTGACTTCAGTCTGAATTCTGACTTTATGATGACCAACACATACATGCTAATTTTTAAGTTGAGGATTTTTGTGAGGTTTAAGAATAACAGATTAGGCATCTAATGGATGGTAGCTGTTGTTACTAGTCATCTGAGGAACCTAAGTTGGTAACTATGGAAGACTATGGCATTTTAATTATCTTCTAAAAAATTTTTTTTTTTTTTTGGTCATACTTGAGGTTTGAACTCAGGGCCTTGCTCTTGTTAGGCAGGCACTGTACCACTTGAGCCTCATCCCCATCCCTTTTTGTTTTAGTTATTTTTCCAGGTAGGGTCTTGTTTCTTTTTGCCTGGACTGGACTGGCTGATCCTCCTATTTATGCTTCCTCTGTGTAGCTGAGATGACAGGGTTGTGCCACCACACCCAGATATTGATTGAGGTGGGATCTTGATAACTGTTTGCCCAGGCTGGCATTAAACTTCCATCCTCCCGATCTCTGCCTCCCAAGTAGCTAGGGTTATAGGTATGAGCCACCTTATCAGGCCTCCTAAAAAGATTTAAAGGTTGAATTATTTAGAACTGAAAGATAAAGGGAAATTCATCTGCTTTATATTCTCATTGCCTGTCCCTACAAGTGACTTCTGTGTCTTGTTAGGCATATATACTTTCCCATACTTCCTCAAGTACACAGTAACTTAATATTTTAATTTTTAAAAATTTGACTTGTAGGTTTTCTTATTAAATTTTCAGCACTGTTTTGTGGTAGACTACTTTTCCACATTCTCTCTGATTAAACTTTTAAGGGATTATAAATACAGCTGGGGATAGGGCAGGCTTAAATATTTGTACTCTTATGTCTAAAGACAAGTAACCAGAAATGAAAAACTGGTTTCTAATGTTTTCTAATGCTTGGAATATATCACTGTGGGAAATGACCTGTGTATGTAAAATGAGCAGTTTTGGAAACTTAAAAAATTTATGTAGCAGAATTATGATATGTGTTAACAATTACAATGGCCAAGAAATTTTATTTCAATTTGTTTAGCACTTGCTTTTTGATTCAGTTGCAAACTATTAAAAAACAGTAAATTCAGAAGAAAAGCTATACAAATACTCAAAATTTAACATTACAATTATTACTGGGTATGTTGGTGGTTCTAGCTTATAATTTTTATCTTCTAAATTTTAATTACATTGTAATTTTTACATGTAATTTTTAATTATATTGTAAAATACTGAGATATAATTCAGTGAAATCTTTCAATGTGTGTTCTATTTTAAAGTACATTGGAAAGCGTTTTAGTTTTTATTTCTCACTTAAAATTGTTACTCTGTTCAAACTAATTAGGTGAAACTGAATGGATTCAATTTTTGTATTTCAGGAGATTACCTGGAGCAATCGATGTTATTGGTCAAACTATAACTATTAGCCGAGTAGAAGGAAGGCGACGAGCAAATGAGAACAGCAATATACAGGTTTAATACTTAAAACAATTATTTTTACTCAAGGGATTATATCTACATTCTAACTGAATTTATTCAATAAAAAATACTGTGCTACACGTTTGGTACTTTGAGTGCTGCAGAGACTTATAATGTGGAACCAGTCACTCTTATGTTATTGCAAACACTTTTCCCTTAGAATTATAATCTCTGCACTTTTCTTTTTTCCTTTCTTTTTTCACAGTACTGGTGTTTGATTCCAGGGCCTTCACACTTGTTAGGCACAGTTGCTGTACTGCTCGAGCCAGCCCTCTAACCCTTTTTTTGCTTTAGTAATTTTTAGATAGGGATCTTAATTTTTCCCAGGGCCAGTTTTGGACTGCAATCCTCCTACATATGCCTCCTGTGTGGCTGAGATTACAGATGTGTGCACCATCATGCCTGACTTACTGATTTAGAAGGGGATCTCACCAACTTTTTGCCCAGGGTAGCTTTGAACTGCCATCCTTCCAATTTGTGACTACCAAGTATCTGGGATTACAGGTGTATCCTACCAGGCCTGGCCTAATCTCTGAACATTTCTTAGTAAGGTTTTTCTTTTTCCTTCTTAATAAACTTAGTACATTAGGTGTATTGAACAAACAATATGGGGGGGATGTGGCAGGAAGTCACTGATAATTCTACTACCTACATGTTACATTTTCACTTCTGGTACATCTCTTTCTACTTACTAAGCAAAATTGAGATACTTTTATATTGGTTTTTTAATTTAAAAAAAATTTTTTTGTGGTACTGGGGCTTGAACTCAGAGCCTATACCTTGAGCCACTCCACCAGCCCATTTTTTTGTGATAGGGTTTTTTGAGATAGGGTCTCGTGAACTATTTGCTCAGTCTGGCTTTTTAACTGCGATCCTCTTAATCTCTGCCTCCTGAGCTAGTAGGGTTTCAGGCGTGAGCCACCAGCACCCGGCTTATTACACTGTTTTGTATTTTTTTTCCCATCAAAATTATTTTCGTGTTCCCAATATTATTTGAAAAATATGATTTAAAATATCATGATAGCTTCATTTTATATGTGCCATAATTCCCTTAATGTGATGTTTCTGAGGGAAGTAGAGTTGCTTTGCATTCAGAGTGTAGGAATGCAAAGAATTCAGTAACTGACATTACCGTTATTCAGGTTGGCCATCATTTTTCATTTTTTATTCTCTTTTTTCTGAGTACCTTAAAAATGTCCACAGTGTTTTGACATTAATTATGTAAAATGTTTAAGCATCTTTACAGTTAATTATTTGTAAAATAGAAGATAGCTCTCTTTTTCATTCTCCCTACTATTATATATAATGCCATGGTTTCTTAAAATAATTCTGTTTTGTACTTTAAGAAACAGGTTTTAAGCAGATACCTTACAGAAATTACTGTATTCAAATGTAATAAAAGGTTAATCAAAAGAGGGATTACATGTTTAAATGATGCGCTTAAGTCAGCAAGGATTCAAGATAAATTAATTTATAGTGTTACATTGGCTATTCTTACTATTTCCCAAATCTGTTTGCACATCAGAATCCTTCAGGTGACATGCGTTGTCAAAACCAAATGTCCCAGGTACACCTTGCTTGCTGCCGTATTTCAGAAGGTTTGGGTTGCTTCTGATCATGCCTGTCCCTTACCTAGTCACACAGATTAGCATTTTGCAAACATTGCTTCACTTTTTAATGTTGTTAAAGTTACAGACTCACATAAAAGTTTTTTACATGTCTTAATCCTCGCAACCTGTTACATACATGCTTTACAGTCTCTTATCTGCAATCATGGTGACAGGCACTGGTACAGTGAATGTCTGATCTACTACCATGATAATTTCTCAGGACTAGTATTTATGGTTAATGAGTATATCACTTTGACTTGAATACTTTGCTGATTTTACAGATATGGTAATTGCTACATTATATTTGTAAGGTTTCTTATTTGAGATGTTATTATTTCTTACAAAAAGGTTCCTTTTCCTAGAACATGAATATTACAATATGAACATCTAAAAAAGTATGTGCGAACATATGTGTGTAAACATTTAGACATACTACCCTTCAAAATATATGTATGTGAATTAAAACTACCTTTTACTTTATTTCTTAGATTAAATGAAATTGATTTACTAAGATGAAGTTAGATAAGAACATTTACTCATCTTCCTAATTGAGTGTTTTCTAATTTCAGGTCCTCTCTGAAAGGTCTGCTACTGAAGTAGACAACAATTTTAGCAAACCACCTCCATTTTTCCCTCCAGGAGCTCCTCCTACCCACCTTCCACCACCTCCCTTCCTTCCTCCTCCTCCAACTGTCAGCACTGCTCCGCCTCTGATCCCACCACCAGGTAAATAGTAAAAATGGCATTTGATTTCGAAAGAAAAACAGTTTGAGACTGTTTAACAGTGAAAATATATATTTGAAGATAATACCTTGATTAATTACATTAAAAGTAATAGTTATCATTTATTATTTTGTTTTCTGCAGATTTATACTGCAAAGATTATACATGTCTTGCTATTTCAGCATAGTAGAGAAAATATTCTAAAATAAAGAATACCTATGTACTAAAATTGACCCAAAAATGCAATAGTAATCCCCATACTGATGTTGCTAATAGTATCTGTATAAATCCATATCGAATTGTAAACCACATGTTAACTTGATTTGAGAAAAATTTGAAGATACTTGATTGGAGTAATTCCAAAAAATTATAACTTTTGAAGAGTCAGTCCTATTGTCTTTTCTTGTGTACTGATTTCCATTTGAGAGACTGCTCCTGGATATAAGGTACCTGGTGTTCACTACTTTTAAACATGACAGAAAATAATACACATTTTTATCATATTTTTAACTACTTTTGTTTATTAAAAACCAGGTTATTGGTAACAGAGAAATATTTGCACGTAATCCCCAAATTCCATTTTTAGTTATACTTTTATTTTCTTTCTGGTAAGTTTTTAATATTTATTTGCCTTAACCACCTTTTTATAAAACTAACAAGATTGATTCAGATTATAATTACTTTCTTCCTAGGGACAATTCCAGTAGTAAATGGTACAAATTAGCTGCTGCTCCTCATAAGGATTACAGGTAGACATGTGTTAGGATTTGCTTTGTTAGTAGAATCAGTTTGCACTGGAGAGCCACATACCCTCACTCACTGTATATCTGCGAGAGCCCTATCATTGTTTTATGGTGCCAGTTATCATCAGAGTAAAGCCAGATAACAGACCTTATTCACCCTTGGCCTCTGAATCTCAGTTATCCCTCTTCCCTCCATCCCTAGCACCTGTGACTTCCTCCCACTATCACCTCAGCTCTCACAAACACGAGAGCATGTTAGGAAAAATGATTGGTGGTTTTAGAGAATCTGTTGTCTCAAAATAGAGGAAGACCAGAATAGGTTAGACGTGTTTCCTCCAGACAACATTATTTCTGAAATTCAATGACTTTCTTATTTCAACAGCTGAAATTGAGCACAAACCATTTCTAAGTTGGGATTGGACCTGTGATTTGGGTCTTCACTACACTTAGAATTAGCCAAATGATAGGGGGCACACGTGATTCATAATGAAAACTTAATGTGGCTTATATTATAAATGAGTCCACTTTCCTCTGAAAAAAGCGAGATAAAAATGTAGAAATAATTAATTTTTGAATATATTTGATTCATGAGACTAAAGTGATAAATGTTTATGGTAATAGTTTTTGTTTTTTTGATGGTACTGAGGGTTGAACTCAGGGCTTTGTGCTTGCTAGATAGGTGCACTACCACTTGAGCCAGTCCGCCAGCGCTTTTTGCATTGATTACTTTTGAAATAGGGTCTCACTTTATGCTCCTGCCATCCTGGACTGCGATCTTCTGATTTTTGGTTACCCATATTGTTGGAATGACAGGCATAAGCCACCATACCCAGCCATTGGTTGAGATGTGGTCTCACAGACCTTTTGCCCTGGGCTGAGTAGCTAGGATTGCACATTTCATTCATTTCACTTGGCCTGTTATAACTATTAAGTTCTAACACTGAATTGCTTTATAATTTTATTTAAGCATTACTAGAACTAAAGGTGGTTTAGATTTGAAAATTTGAAAATTTTTATTTTTAATTGATAAATAATTGTACTTGTTTATGTGACACAATATGATGTGTTCGTACATATTTACATGATAGGATGATTTTAAGATAGTTAATGTATCCATCACTTCACATTCTCACCAAGTTTTGTGGTTTTACACAGATTTAAAATCTGTTCTTGTAGCAGTTTTGAAGCTAGTATTATTAAGTATAGTTACTGTGCTGTGCACTAGGTCTCTAGAACTTATTCCTCCTAACTGAAACTTTGTACCCTTTTAAACAACTCCCCACCCCTCCCTCACCTTGCCTCTGTAACCTCCATTCTTATGTCTGCTCCTGTGAGTTGGGCTCTTTGGATCTCACTTAGAAGAGCTATCAAGCAGTATTCTTTCTGTGCCTTGCCTTGTTTCACTCAGTATACTGTCCCCAAGGCTCATGCATGCTGTTGCAAATGACAAAAGGAAAGAGTTTTCTTACTAATTAGCTAGTAGACATTTTTATATGTTCAATACTAGCTTGTTTGTTCACTAAGTAGGATGAAAGTGGTATAATTTATTGAAAAATTATGGGGAAATTGGTGATGGGCATGGTGTTATGTGAAAGTTTACTTTTTTAAGAAATGGTAAAATTGCTCTTTGCCATGTAGTATTTGTTTATAAGAATAAAAAAATCTTTGTTTAGATTATGAGGGGCATTATACTACGAAGTACCAGTGACTGTTTTTCCATTGCTTAATCTGTTCATCTATTTAATATTAATTCTCAGCTCCATTTTTTTTCTATCCAGGTTTTCTTTGATGCTTATTCTTGAAGTATGTTTTCCTGCTGTCCTATCACTATTTACGGAATGCAGATTCAAATGAATTCTAATCCTGATTTAAACAGTACCTAACTGACATATTTGATGTGGGGGAGGGGGTAGTCAATTAACATTATAACCAAAATTTGTTAATTGAGACTATCTGAATTAATCTTTGTTTTTGCTATACTCTCTTGCATAGAGTGTAGGGTATTTCTGTGTTGCCTACAGTGCTAGTCATAGTGTCTTGTGTGCACTTGGCATTCCCTGAATATGTTAGCTAATTGAGTAACAACATAGTTAAGTTTCTTTAACAACAGAGATGATTTTCAGATTGATAGGTGGTATGTTTAATCAGAGTTTTACTCTCTAAACAACAGTATGACTGTATAGACATATATCTACTGAAAGAAGCCCTGCAGAAAGCTGTACTTTGCTTTGCCATTTACCACAGAACCACATGATCACACCCCGTTTTGTACTTTGGTGTAAATGTAAATCACCTTAGAAATCAGAAGCAGCTAATGAAAGAAAGCTGTGACTTAGAATTCTTTTGAGTATTACCTTAACAATAACTACATTTTTCTTAGAGAAACCTTGGATTTTGTTTTTTGCTTTCTTTAGAAATTTTGAAAGGAAAGGAGGGAAAAATCTTTTGAGGATTGATTTTTAATGTATTTTAATGTTACCTTTGCTAAAATTAGATTTCTGATGCTTAACTTAAAGCCAAAGTTCTATGTTTGCTAGGACAAATGCAATAATGATATGTTATGCCCAATTTTAGGATGCTTCCTAGCTGCTAGCTAGGCTTTTTAAATAAATATGGTCACTATATATCCAGATTTGCTTGTAACAAATTACCTTCACACCTTTTATCTCAGCATAATTACCATTCCTAGTCATTCCCTCACTTGGAGGTTAAGATTTATGTTAGTTTGCTTGGAGACTTACAGACATGGCTCATTATGTAAGTGTACATAGTTTTTAATAATAAGGTGACAGAAACAGCTCTTAACACTACACTTCTCTTGTTGACAGAAGAGGTTTGTCTTCCTTTCCCCTCAACTACCCATCTACAAACATGTATTAAACTTTATTAGTAACATAAAGAGAACAGAGTATTTCTGGTCATAATAAATTTGTAAGAAGAATGGAACCTGTCTTCCAACAAAGATGGAACAGACATCTAGAAATGCAGTGTTTCATGTTGTTCATTGCAGCCATACTAACAGTATCCTGAAAACAAATAATGTTTAATTATGGTCCTTTGTAATTTCAGATTGTCTATTATTTTTTGTTAGATTCTTTTTACTGATTTTTTTTCAGAATACATTAGTGTGATTTCATGCTTTTTCTAATAATGGAAATAATACCTAGTATTTACTATTGATTGCTCACTTTTGAAGGCACCATTCCAGGTACATCCCAGGTATTGTCTCATTTGATTCTAGAATAATATCTAGAGTATATATTATTCTGATTTTACAGATGAACATACTGGGGCTTAAGGAATTTAAGTAACAGCAGAACCAGACTTCTAATCCAGGCAGTTTTTCTGGATTGCTTATTTTCTTTATTAACTATGCTGAAATAGGTCGGTACCTATTAAAAAAATTATTATTAGATGATGTATATGTACAAAAACATGTCTTAGAACGTTCCCCTTCAGTCCTCCCCCCAGAACCACTTCTCTGATGTTGAATTGCATGCATGTGTATTTCTGGGTAGGGAAATTGGGGAAACTCTAAAGAGCAGGAATTAGATTTTCTTAAGTAAAGTCCATTTAACTAAGGTGTTATTATTTTATAATATGTGTAAGGAGTATATGTTTACTTGAACAAGTCACTTTGAAATACTCGAATATTAGAAAAAATATATTGTGAAAATGGAAGGATTGATGTTACAGGTTAGGTTATTTTGCATATGTTGTTTGTTTAATGTGGTCAAATGTACAATTTTATTTTAGCCATTTTGTAAGTGTATAGATCATTGTGCAACCTTTATCATGATCTGTAAACCTAAACTTTTTCATAATCCCTAATGAAAACTATGCCTTTTAAACAATAACTCCTTCCCTTGTTTTCCCAGACCTTGGTAACTTCTATTCTACTCTCTGCTTCTCTGAATTGGCTTATTCTCAGTACATTACATTAGTGGAATCAGGCAGTAGCTTTTGTCCATATGTGTCAAGCCTGTTTTGTTTCTAAAATAAGTATTGTGAACTAATTTTATATGCCTTAAGGGCTTATGATTTTGACTTTTAAATGTTAATTTTCTTTAGTATCATATTTTATCTCCATTTTTATAATGGAGTTTGTTGAAAAATAGAAGGCAAGTTCAATTTGACTCGTTTCTTGTTGCCTTAATTAATAGTAAGAGTCATGTGACTGGTTTTGTAGCTCTTGGGAACAATTGAAATTGAGCCCACAAGTAGAATTTCTCTAACTAGAAAAAGGCACTTCGTTCGTAA